AATGTGTTATTAAACCAGGGGACAAGGGATGGGACAAAGACACTGAATGAGTCCACATACTAGACAGTGATTCATTTAGAAAATTGTTGTGTGCCATCACACAATACAGCATTATTTCACGACAGTCATTACCTCTTATATCTTGGAGGCCTCTTGGCCCTCTGTACACCAAAACCAACTCTCATCGAGGACAGAGAAAGTTCTTCCCCGTTCTGTACCATCTTGTTCTGTTATTGCTCCTCTACTGGTGTCTGTACTTTCAGGCTCTGAAAAACCAAAGCCAGACTGAGCTCGTGGATGAAGAAATCATGTCCCAGATCAGGAAAGGCCACAAGACCGTGTGCATGGTGCTCACCAGCCGCCACAAGAATCTGGACACTGTGCGGGCTGTATGGAGCACCAGTGACATCAAGGCAAGGATGTGGAGAAGCCTAAGGTTCATGAGGGGAGCAGCTGAGCAGCTCCATTGGCTGCTGTGGCTTGAAAGGTCACCATGAAACATGGAGAGGGTTATCCTCTCTTACCTACAATCTCTCCATTTCTTCTACTGTGCTTTTTGAAAAGTGGCACTTGGTATTTATTACACTAATCTAGCCAGTTCAGACTTAGCAATAGTTTTCTTCTCCTTCTCTCACAGAACTCTGTGGACTCTGCTGTAGCAACCAATGACCTGTCTGTTGTTGTGGACCTCTTGAACATTGTCAACCAAACAGCGTGAGTGCTGGATTGCTGGGATACCAAAGAGCTGCCTGGCTATGTCAGGAGTGCTGTGCTGCACCTGCCTTGTGTCCAGCTGGCCATGGCAGCCTGTGCTCATGGTCACATCTCCAGCTCTGCAGTGCCAGTGACTGCTGGAGTTGTGCAGAGCCTTTTCTGTTGGTAAATGATGTCTCGTGAGGAAAATCAAAGTCTTAAGGCTTCATAAAGTGATCATGCAGGGAGTAAATTAAATGTCAGAACCTGCTGCTTTCTATCACAAGGGGGAGTTAGTGAACTTGCTCAGTAAACTTGGGCTCAGCTACCTGGATATTTCTGCCTGAAAACTTCATTTGTGTCAGCTTAACTTTGGAAAGCCTCATGCTCCGACCTTGCAACACATGCTTTTCTTTTCAGGTCTCTCTGGAAGTTGGATTTATGCACTGTCGTTCTGCCTCAGATAGAAAAACTTCTCCAAAGTAAATACGAAAGGTGAGGCCATGAGAACATGGCTTGTTCAGTGGGAAAGATGTGGGTGCTGATACGAGGGCTCCACTGGGCTTTTTGTGGCTGAAAGAAAATTGTGGAAAATCACAGCAGGTACAGCATGATGCTGGTACAACACCTGGAAGATAACAGTGGAGTGGCCAAGTGAGTGTTAGGAAATGATATGGGAAGAATGTATGGGCAGGAAGTCCTCATTAGGAGCAGGATGTTTAGGTTTGGTGTAAATGTGTTGATATAGGTGAAGGCAGCTGTGAGCCAGGAGGGGTCAGATAGATGTAAACCCAGTGGGCTCTGCACCGATGAGAATGAAACTGTCAACTTGGGACAAGGGAAATGAAATCCCACGGCAGTCTTGGTGGCACTTAGAAGACTGCTTTGAATCTCATCTTTAGGTGGGAAGGCAGCACGTTGCTTAAGATGGGGTTTTCTATCCTTTCCTGCTGGGAGACAGGATCCTGCCAGGTACCCTCAGCAGGACATGTCTACTCTTGAGCAGGAAAGTCCCACTTAGCAGGGTGTATGCCTTGGGAAAAGGCTCACTTGTCAGTCTCAGCTCCAACTAAGACTATATTGGCACTTGTTCTCCTTATCTGGTTGCAAGTGCTGGAGGGAAGGGGTTGCGTATGTTGCCCCCCTCCCATCCCCCCCCGAACTGAATGTGTGTGGGAAAGGAATGAAGTTCAGGTGGGGTCTGATTCTCTGTTTGCTTTTCAGTTATGTGCAAACGGGCTGCACCTCCTTGAAACTCATTCTGCAGAGATTCCTGCCACTGATCACCGACATACTTGCTGCACCACCTTCTGTAGGAGTGGACATCACCAGAGAGGAGAGGTGAGCACTTACCACCTCCACTTGCTCCCTTTCAAACCAGCATTTCTCTAGTTGAGCTTTGCTCCTTTTCCTCGAGGTTTTGATACTAGACTGGGCATGCCTTTCCTTTTGTCTGCAAATACCAACCCCTCCTGCTCTGAGGAAAAAGCCAAAGACTGCTTTTCTCTCTTTCTCTGTATTGAGTCATACCTAAACAAAGCTCAGGTATGTCAGAAGTAAAACCAGCCAGTGGCTGCACCCTTCACCTCACAAAGCACAGGAGTTGTCAGCTAGGCCTTGGGCTTCCAGTTCATTCACAGGGTAACCCTGCTCTGAGAACCAGCTCTCCGGAAACAGCACCTCTTTCTTCCTCAGACTTCACTGCCAAAGGGGAAAATAGGCGTGAAAGAACCCTTGTGAGGATTCCATTCTCCTGCTTCATCAGGATGCGGGCTGGAGACCTGCTGTTCCTGCAGAGTCATGCTCTCATTCCAGTCAGGCCGTTTGCAGGGCTTGCATTTTCTCTCCTGCTTGAGATGAATCTCGAGCACTTTGGGAACAGGCACATCTCCTATGCAGCTAAGCATTCATGCTGTGTCTGCTGTTTTCACAGGCTCCATAAATGCAGGCTGTGCTATAAGCAGCTGAAAAACATCAGCAACATTGTCAAGAACAAGTCTGGGCTCAGCGGCCGCCATGGTAGTGCCTTCAGAGAACTGCATCTCCTCATGGCTGTGCTGGAGTGACTGCTGCCATCTCCGCAAGTGCAAACACAGGTGGCCAAACTCCCCTCTGTGCTCAGTCTGGCTGGGTTGCACCTCTCTGCGTGTTCACCCTTCCCCACGGCACAGTAGGGAGCACAGATCTGCCTGGCCGGCCGCCTGTCCAGAAGCAGTGCCTGGAGGGGCAGGTGGAAGACTAGAGTGGAGCGATGCGAGGGGACCTGGCTGCAAAAAGTCCCTGTTGTGGAGCAGCTTCGTTTCAGCTCTTCACCTCACCATCAGGCGCTGTGTCTGCGTGCTGACCTTGCCCTGAGTGGAGGGCTGCAGGCCTGCTGCCACTTCTCCTTCACCCACGCATGCTGTTGGTTCTTTGCCACTTGCTCTGGCAGCCAGGTCTGCTCACTGTGCAGCACACTGAGGACTGCAGCTTCTTCCCCACTGAAGCCTGCTGTGGGGTGAAGAGCCCTGTCCCTGCAGAAAGGGCTTATCCTCTTCTCCAGGCGGGTGGGACCAGCCCCTTTAGCTTGCTGCAAAAAACGTGAGCCAGGGCACTGTGCCGCTGCATGTGGTGTGCTTACAGGGGCCAATAATAGTGAGGGGAAGTTGTCTGCCGGCTTCTCTGCATCCCTGCAGGTAACCCTGCACCACAGAAGATGGATTTGAGGTCCGCCTGGATCTGTTAACATACATGACTTTGTTAGGACTTGTCATACGTGTTTGCCTTTGGGGGTGAGGGTGGAAGAACAGAGGGACACGGACTGATGTCTTTCTGCATCCGCTGGACCACTGGTAGGGACATTTTTTTCCCCAATAAATGTCTGTCAGAACTTTCTGCCCCTCTTTCTTCTTTCCTGTGGGGAGAGGAGCTCCTGCTGGTGCTTCCCCTGCTCCTCCAGCTCTGTCTGCTCATTTTGTACACTGGAGCCTGTTCTCTAGGAAACTGTAACTTATAACGAATTTTATTAAAGCATTTGTAACATTTTTTTTTTAAAGTGGTGTTATATGCCTGAATCTCCCTACTCTTCTCCCCAGCTTGTGTCTCACAGGGCAGCCGGCCACGTTCTCACCCTTCCTGTCACCAGGCTGCTGTAAGTGGCTGCCATGAGTAAGAGTGACCACACTCCCTGAGCACCTTGCAGAGAGCCGTGGGAGGTTTTGCTCTGCCAGGCAGGTCCCGGCCCTGAGAGCAGCTTGTGGCTTGTCCTTCTTCCTGACAGATCTCTGCTCCACACCTGATTTCAGACAGCTCTCAAGGCGGGGGGCTCCAGCCTGTAATAACCATCGGGGCAAGGCATAGAGCCCTGGGGGAAGTAACAGCAGCACAGGAGGAGTGGCTTTAATGCTTTATTTAAAATAAGTTTTGTTATAAAACAGGATATATATATTATTAAAATACATAGAAACATCTAATCTTAACAAAAGACTAGATTATTTTTCCCTTTTTTATTTTTTTTTTTCCCCCCTTTCTTTTTTTCTTTAATAGGGTACGGCGTGGAAGGGCCAGGAGCTGGAAGGTGTGTGCATACCTTGCATGGTTGCAGCTGCCCCAGGAGCTGCCCTGGAGCTTCCACTGCTCCTCCATGCCCCTGCCAGCCCCCACTACCACACGTACTCCAACAGCACTGGGCTGGAGGGTTTTGTTTTTGTTTTTTTTTTCCATTCCAAGACCATGTAAACAGGTTATAAATATTTCAAACACATTCATCTTGACCACACTGTGATCTCTCTTGAGAAGACAACTGTTCAGTCACTTTACAATAGCTTCCTTCAAGACTGCAAAGCACCTGCTGGTGCCAGGGGGGGCAGCCCTGCGACTGCTCTCCCTTTGGGCAGGGTGCATGCAGCAGCACCGGGGCGCCTTCGTGCAATTGGGCAGGAGAATCCAACAGGGAAAGGAGCTGCTGGGGTTATTCTGGCTTCAATTCTGGGCTGTGCTGCTCCAAAAGAGGCTGGAGTGGGGGGCACGGGGTGGAGCAGGACGTTGTGGCTGGGCACAGTCACGCCAAATCCTGCACTTCATCCAGGTGCTCGCTGCTCCAGCCAGGCTCCTGCAGCAGTGGTGCCCCCAGCGCAGTGAGATGGGGGTGCTCAGCCCCAATCCTTCCAGCCAGATACCCCAGCTGTCCTAAAAACGAAGCTGAAGGGGTGACGAGGCTCCTTGTTTTGGCTAAAGCCATCTGTCCAGCAAGAATTAGAAGTCACAGAGCTTGCGTGTCTCACAGTGAGAGGTGCCATGGCAGGAGGGGATGCCACCACCCCCAGGGCACAGCTCCAAATGTGGCCGGGGCACCAAGGTGGGTGAGGGGCCAGGTCCTGCAGCATGTGTCACACGGGGACCGGCCTCAGCTTCCCTGTGGGGATACAGACACGTGCATCAGGCTGGGCAGGGGGCACAGCCACCGCAGCTCGAGGCCCCAAGCAATGCGATCCCAGCAGCACCCCTGCAAGCAGCACAGCCCTGCACACCTCCCTGCCTGGGAAGCAGGGCTGAAGCAGAGCCCACCACCGGCTCCCGGCTGCACACACTCACCTGGCAGCCACGGCTGCCCCTAATTCAGGCTGAAATCGAAGAGAAGAGAGGTTCAGCTGCGGGCGCTGCCCTGCAGCATCGCTCCCTGTCTGCCCCACGTGCAGCCCCAGCTGCTTTGCCCCACGTGGCCCCGCACTGCCCTGTGCTGGGACGGGGCACTTCAGGGGAAGCCCTAACTAGGCTCCCGACAGCCAATTAGCCAGTGGTTAATGAGCCGATTACAGCACAGCTCGCTCCACATGCAGCTTTGCCTGTCAGCAGTGGGCTGAGAGCTTCCTCTGATGGAAGGCCACGGGTTGGGCATTCTGGGAGCACGGAAGGGACCCGCATGCCCCCACCCACCTGAGGTCTGCAGCTTCCTGCGGATGGAGGTGGTGCGGCCGCTGGGCAGCCCAGGGCTGGGGGACGCGTGGCTCCGGCTGGAGGATCCCGGCAAGTCACCCTGGGGAGAGATGGAGCAGCCCTGGGTCAGCTCACGCCTCTGGGGATGGCACGCAATGAAAGATGCCGGCTGAGCTGTGGGTACCTCCAGCTGCTCCTGGCTGGGCCAGGACACCAGCTCGGCCTTGCGGGACACAGGGCCCAGCTCCACGGAGCGGACACGCTCGGCAAACTTCAGGGAACACAGCGTCTCGCTGCTGTTCTTCTCGGCGGGGGAGACCTGCGGGTGGGAGCAGCAGCACATCACCCAACTGTCACCCACACACCCCCCTCCCCGCTGCTCAACGGGGTCAGGGAGCTGCTATTATTAACCCACCGCCCCCAGGATAGCCCCCAGCCGCCGTCTGCACCAGGCACAGCCCTGTCACCAGGGGAGAGAAGCCACAGCAGGTGGCACGGAGCGCAAGGGATGGGGGACAGGGAACCCAGACCTGCACCATCATGAGGGTCTTGCTGTCCCCGCTGAGCGAGTCCTGCAGCAGGTAGGTCAGCTTGGAGTTGCGGAAGGGCACGTGGCCCTGGCGGGAGCGCAGCGCGTAGATGACGTCCCCCAGTGCCGACAGCGACCTGTTGATGTACTGAGCCTCACGCAGCCGGCTGCCCTCCGCGCCCGAGCGCCCGACGCGCTCCGAGCCCGCCAGGTCCACCAGGTTCAGCTTCCCTGGGGGCGCAGATAAAAAGTCAGCACCGCCAGCACCGCCCTGCAGCCCCGCCGGGGGGCACGGCCCCCACCTGTGGTGCGCAGCCCCGTGCTGCGGTCCAGGCCGCGGACGGTGATGATGAGCAGCGCGTGGGAGCGGGAGCTGTGCTCGTTCAGGTTGGTGCACTCCGTCACGCGGTTGACGTGGCCGAACTCGAAGACCTGAGGGTGAGGAGGGGGTGAGGCCGCGATCCGCTCACCCCCCATCCATCCGAGCCCCGTGCTTTTATTTCAAACCCCCTGCAGCGCGCCCAGGGCCTGGTGCCCCCCATCCTGGACAGTGCTGCAGTCACCAATGCACCGTGGGATGCCTCACCTTATTGATGTCCTCCACGCTCTGCACGCTGAACTCAGTCAGCCCGGGCACGTAGAGCTGCCCGCTGCCATCAGGGCACAGTTTGATCTCCAGCTTCTCCTGGGGTTCCTTCCCCAGCAGGTCCCTGCGAGGGGGAACCCATCAGCGCTCAGCTCCCATCCGGTCACAGCCCACTGCTTGCAGAGGTGCAGCACGATGCAGATGTGCACTCAGGGCCTGTGCCGGTCCCTGCGGTGCCGGAGAGCCCTGCGGCTGCTGCCGTCACTCCCCCAGCCCCCAGCGTCCAGGCAGGGCAGGAAAATGTTTCTCATTCCCTTGGCTCCCAGAGTGCAGTTTCTAAATATAACGGCCGAGGCCGGGGAGCCGGGCCAAGGGAAAGGCGTTTGGAGCCCGGTGGAGGAAGAGGGGGGAGCCCAAATAAGCAGAAACAGCTCAAAGGGAGACGGGGCCCAGCTTGGTGCTTCCTTACACGGCCAACGCTGAGCTCTGAGGGCTCCACGTGATGCTGTGCCCCGGCCAAGGGCTCACATCCATACCTGAGTGCCTCGTTGTAGATCTCAGCCACGCTGACGCTGATGGCGTAGTCCCAGTCAGCCGCCTTGCTCCGCACCTCAGAGAAGAGCAGCTGCAGGGCTCGCTGGTTGATGCCCGGGTTTGTGGAGGTTCCCTGGTGAATGGGGAGAGAAATGATCCGTTGTGCTTTTTTCCTGATGCAGCTGAGCAGAAGCAAAGCTCGGGGATTGCAGCAACAGCCAGGATTGGCGCCCAGCCTGGGTTAGCAATGGCACTGAGACACAGAGGGCATTACAGAGTTGGAAGGCAAGGAAGAAGAGGGAGGCAAAGCCAGGCAAATTCACCTCCATTGTGTACGTCTTCCCTGCTCCTGTCTGTCCATAGGCAAAAATGCAGACGTTGTACCCATCGATGCAGGACGTGACCAGGGCCTGAACCTCTTGAAACACCTGCAGGGGACCGGAGGGCATCAGGGGACGGTGCAGCTTTCCCCTGGCTGTCACACCACCCTGCTATGAGCTGTGTGTGGCAGCACCCACCTCCTCCTGCGATGCCTGTGGAGGAAACACCTTGTCCAGCTCAAAGGACACCTGTTTCCCCTTGTGCAGGAGGTGCAGGACAGCATCGTCATCCGCATCAAATGTCACCGCGCTGACCGCCTCCGGGCCCTCTCCATCCTCCTTAGTGATGGGACGGACTCTCCCGAAGACGCGGATGTTCCCTTGGTGGGGGAGCAGAGGCAGCATCAGCCCCGCTGTGGCACCCAGCTGTCCCCGCAGCCCGGCCCCGCCGCACCTTTCAGCCGCACCAGCTCATTGTGGCACTTCTTGCGGAGCTGCAGCTCCCGGCGGTATTTGCGCAGCAGCTCCCGGTTGGTGCTGTTCACCTCCTCGATGGCTTGCCCGATCTGGGTGAAGAACAGCGCTCGGTTACCCACCCACACCACGCAGGGAGAGGGGCTGTGGGCTGATCCCGGCTCACCTCGGCCCTGGCGCTCCGCAGGGTCTCCTGGAGGAGCAGGGGGAAGTCCCGCACCTGCCGCTTCAGGCTGTTGTAGTCGTGGGTGAGGGTGCGCAGCGCGGGCTGCAATGTCAGCAGGTTGGTCCGCACCCCTGCAGGCAGCACAGGGTGAGGATGAGTGCCTCCAGCACAGGGTGAGGACGTGCAGCCCCGACCCTGTAAGCCCCACGAGCCCTGCGCCCTCTCCTCACCCGCCAGGTTCTCATGCACCGCCTTCATCTCCACTTGGGCACGGGAAAATGCCTCTTCAATGGCACGGTTCTTCTCATCCTCCATCACCTGCATCTCCTCCAGCATCTGCCCGTGGGCCCGCTCCAGCTCCGACTCATACATGGCAATCTGGGGGTGAGGCAGCACCAACAATGCATGCACATCAGTCCCAGGTGCCGCCTGGTTCACACCACTGCACTGCTGCGCCTGCGGACCGGTACCTGTGCCCTGAGCTGAGCCGCTGTCTTCTGGGAGCTCTGCAGCTGCTGCTCCATCTCCTTCAGCACCTGCCTCTGCATCCCCACCTGCTCCTGCAGGTATTGGTTCCGGGACTGGCTCTCACACAGGGCCTGCTTCGCCTTGGCTGACTCCACCTCCACCGTCTTGATGATGTACTGCACAGAGCACCCACAGACGATGGTGTATTACAGACCGAGGTCACCCGGAGGGGGACGATTTACAGAGCAGCAGAGTGGCACCGCAGCACTGACGCAGGGCACTGTTACACAGCCAGCAGGAGGCACGGCCCCTCAGCGCTCACCTTTATCTGCTGGGGCTGAGCCCTGAGGCTGGCGATGGTCTCCTGGCTGTCCCGCAGCCGCCGGCTGAGCCGCTCCTCCTCCTGCGCTCTCTCGGCCAGCGAATCCTTGAGCCGCAGCTCCACCTCGGCCAGGCGGTTCGTCTTCTGCTGCACCTCCAGCTCCAGCTCCGCCAGCTTGGCTCGGGCCTCCTCCGCCTCTCTCTGCAGCTGGCACAGCCGCTCCTGCAGCCCGGCGTTCTCCTGGCCCCAAAGCAGGCTCAGCCGACGTTGTGGCACCCACAGCCCTTCCAGCAGCCACCGGTCACCCGCGGCTCACCTGGAGGTGGGTGCAGTCCCTGCACGCCGCCTGCTGCCGCCGCAGCTCCCGCAGCTCCCCTTCACGTGCCTTCATCTCCTGCCGCAGCCGCTCGTTCTCAGCCACCAGCAGGTCCCGGTGCTTCTCCGCGTCCGTGCCGCCCTGCGGAGGGTCAGCGTGTGATGGGAGCCCTACCAGCAGCCTCCCGCTCACCCCCACACCAGTGAGCTCACCATCTCCGAGCGCAGCCTGCCGATCTCCTGTGCCTGCTCCCGCAGATTTGCCTTCAAGTTCTCAACCTGCACACGTGGGGAAGCTCCGCTGGAAGTGCATCCCCACACTCTGCTCCCTAGGAAGGGTTTCCCCTCCGAACACTTTGCCCGGTGATGAGGCACCGCGCCAACCCCCAACCCAGGGAGCGCGAGGCTGTCGCTCCATGCAAACAGCAACAGCCTTTTCTGAACCTCTGCAGATCATCATCTAGGAGCTGCTGATTTATAACAAACACGAACGCGCTCACATTGTGCTGTAATTAATTATGATAAGTTATAAGCCACTCCCTTGCGGAGACGGCGGCGCGGCGAGCTGCCTGAGCGCACCTCCTGCGTGTGCCGGCGGCAGAGGCTGCTCCCACAGCCAGGACCTCAACTCAACCCTTCCTCTGCTGTCCCTCGGCCCTTTCTCAGCACAGCCCTCGGTGCTCCAGACGGGAGGAGGGGGACACAGAGCCGTGGCTAAGCCACCACCCTCCTGCTCAGACAAGCAGCACATCGCAGGGCTGCGCTCCCCATGTGCTTCCAGCCCCAACCACGTCCCCACACCCTCCAGAACCTTAAGGATAAACCTCACGGAAAAGCACACAGCCCCACACGAAGAGCTGAAAGGCCCCAGCCATGCGTCCAGCAGAGGCTCAGTGGGGAAAGGAGCTGCTTCCCCTGCTCCCCAATGCAGTGCCCTGCTACACCAGCACAGCCCCGTGCCCTACCTCCTCAGGCAGCTCCAGCGGCAGCCTGCTCTCCAGACTGTTCAGGGATTCCTTGGCAGTGGGCTGGGGGCTGAGGCATGGCCCGGCCATTGCTGAGCTCCCGGAGCCCAGGTTTACCCCGTGTCGTACAGCCCCGGCACGCCAGCTGCCTGTCCTGCTTGTGTCATGCAGACTATGCCAACCAGATCCAGGACAATTACATCCACCTTTTTGACACCAGTGGAACAAGCCAAACCTGACTGTAATAGCTTCCACAACATCCACATGCAAATCCCTTTATTAGCAGCTTGGGTTTCAATCTCCCTGTAATGAGGAAGGTCCTCACATCCACAGCTGCGTCTGCACCAGCATGAGAAACATCAGGGGGTCAGCACCGAGGCCAACCCCTGCCCACAGCAGCACAGCAAGCACCAACACAGACCCGCACTGCTCCTCACTCGAGACAGCTCGAGCACCCCGAGCCCTCATGCTACAGATCACAACGCACAGCTGGAAGCCCGGAGCGCGCCCAAAGCCCCCCTACCTGCCCTCGCAGCTGGACGGAGACGGCCATCTCCTCGCTCTCGCGGGCAGCCAGCTTCTCCTGCAGAGCCAGCAGCTCCTCCTGCAGCCGCAGCTTCTCCTCCTGCAGGTGAGCCATGGATGCCACCACCTTCTGGATGACGGGGAAGGGCCGCTGGGCCGGCAGACCGGCGCGCTTCCCGCTGCAAAACCGACCCCCTGCGGCAAGAGAGAGCACAGCGGGGTCGGGGTCAGCCAGCCCCAGGGCACACAGTGGGGACAGGAACCCGAGGGAGACAGCAACAGGGGCACAGCAGTGCTGGGGGTCCCGGTGGGAGGGCAGCGACACCTGCCTGCGTTACAGACAGAGGGATGCCAGCATCCCACGGCACACCCCGGGGTGCCCTGTGTGGATGTGCCACCACCCAGCCCCGCTGCTGCCTCTGATTCACCCCCTCAGCACCACAGCCTTTTTTTTCCCCCGAATGAGCAGGTGCTGGTGGAAAAACAGCATGGGATGGTGTTATTAAAGGCTGCGTCATTGAACACGGCAGCGTAATGGAAGCCAAATTCAAATTACACGGGCGACCCAAATGGTGGCACTGCTTGTTGAGTGCGACTTTCTGACCTTCACGGCATGAGTTTAAACACAGCTTTCTGCAAACGAAGCCCTAAATTGCTCCGTGGTTCCAGCAGGGGACGAGCTGGCCTGACTCACCGCCATGCAGTGCCGGTGGAACCAGCAGCATGGATCCAGGCTGCTCCCTGCCTTGCCTGGAAAGTGAAGGTTGGAAGGCAAAAGGTGATGCTGGGAGCTGCTTGGCTGCCTGCAGGCAGGCTGATGCCGTGTGCCAGTTGTGTTTCACACACATGCTGCAAAGCTTCAGCTGTCCTGAGTACTGACAGCTGTGGGGACTTGTGCTTTCTTTGAGCAAAGAGGCAGCAAAGAGGGACAGCCAGGAATCCGTGCTCGTGGCACCACCTCCAGAAGGACTGCTGCTTTTTGTTCTCCTGCCCAGGGCTGCATGCACAGCCTCGCTCAGCACCCACTCCCTCCCCATACCAAAGGGACAGGAAACCCAAACTTGAAGGCAGCAGACCCTCCTGCCCTCCCCCAGGTGAGCACTGCCTCCTCCCAGCTGGGCTAGGCACGACTCAGGGAAGCACCGATGCTCCAGTTGGAGACACCGCATGCATCGCCTGCATGGATACCAAGCCCCTTTTGGAGGATGTGAGTGTATGCATCCCCCCGGCTGCTCCCCAGCCCCCACCCCTCAGTCCTGGCCACATCCATGCTCCCCTCACCGGCTTTCTCCAGGCTCATGGTGCAGGCTGCCTGCCCTGGCACGGTGGGCTCACGTGGGGATGCTGGCGGTTCCTCCGTGGTGCGTGGCAGGGCCGGCTGCTGGCCGTCCTCCAGCAAGACCTGTGCCTGCGGGGTGAAATGTGCTGCTGGGCTCCCAACCTCCCTGTGCCATCCCACTGGGTGTGCTCCTCCAGCCCCACGTCCTCAGGTCACACGCATCGCCCGGGCACTGTAAGGACGGTCCCACGTCCCCACCCTCTATTGTCAAGAGGAACTCAGCCGGCTGCCTTCGGGTCTGCCCGTTACACGTTGGTGCCTATGAGCTGGGTGGGCTTCAGCGAGGCCCCGGTTCTCAAGATTGAATGCAAAGCGCTGGGGCTTTTCCAGCTGCTACACCAAAGGAAAAGCCAGAAGGAGGGAGGAGAGGAATACGGCAAAGGTCAAAAAAGTCCGGGCTGTTGTGTAATTCTGCATTCGCCGCCTTGCAGAGAAAAAAAATATCTATTTTTAATGCCACCAGTAAAAAAAAAAAAAAAAAAAAAAAAAAAAAAAAGTGCTGGCGAGGTGCTTCTGCAAGGGAACGGCACGGCTCAGCTGCCCGCCCCGGTCAAAAGTTCTCCTCCTTCCACTGCGCTGAGCGGGGACGGCCGGCTCGGCAGAGCGACGGCGGCGGCAGCGCGGAGCCGGCAGCCGGCCCGAACCCACGGACCGGGCGGACCCTTCCCGCACTGCCCCAGACATCGCTTTGCGGAGCGGCCGAGACCCGAAGCAGACCGGCAGCAGGGCGGGCAGGAGGACGCGCAGCCCGCAGGCACCCCACGCCCCTGCAACTCGCTCCCGCTCCCCGGCCGCGCAGCAATGCGAAGAATGCGGGCTTGCCGGTTCCTCCCCCCGCCCCTCCGCAGAGCCGTGCGGTACTCACGCTGCAGGGGCAGCTCCCGGCCCGGGCGGGCTGCCGGCATGGCACGGGGGTCCCCGGCTCCGCGACCCCTCGGCGTCCGCGGGGAGAGCGGCTCGGCGTCTCGCAAAGCTCCGCCGTCCCCGCTCCGCACCCCGGTCCCGCCCACCGCCGTCCCGCAGACAAAGGGAAGCCCGGCCCGGCCCGGCCCCGCCCGCTCCCGGTGCCCTCCCGGTGCCGCTCACCGGCCGCCCGCAGCCGCTCCGCTCCCCGCCCCGGTCCCGCCCATCCGGGCGTCGGCACCGGCTGCTCCGCCCCGGTTCGTTGCCCTGGCGACGCCCGGGACCCCCGACGGACGGCGATGCCTGGGGGATGCGCGGCCCCGCACTGCCCCTCTCGACCCCACAAAGCCCAACTCTGCCTCTCTTCAGCCCCTACACAGCCCCACGAAACCTCTTTCAGCCCTTCATAGCCCCTCTGAGCCCCACGCAGCCCAGCTCTGGTACTCTCAGCCCCTTACAGCCCCTCTTAGCCCCGCACAGCCTCACACAGCCTCTCTCAGTGCCACAGAGCCCCATATAGCCCCTTTCAGCCCTACACAGCCCCCCATAGCCCCACTCAGCCCCTCATAGCCTCTCTCAGCCCCACACAGCCCAACTCTGCCCTTCTCAGCCCCTTTCAGCCCCTCATAGCCCTGCACAGCCCCACATAACTCTACATAACCTCTTTCAGCCCCACACAGCCCCTAATAGCCCCACACAGCCCCTCTCAGCCCCACTGTGGGTGCTGTAGGGGTTCACCACACGGGGCTCCCCATGTCCGTGCAGCTGCTGCTGTTGGTTCAGCGATGATGAGGACGGACATGAGGTGACTGTAAGCATTCCAGCAGTGACTCTAATGTCGTATTGTCACTGACTTACTTAATTTACGAGCTGTGAGGGCAAAATAATGTTTATGCAAATGGCTCTGGGCGTTAAGTCATTTCCTGTCCTTTGAATGCTTCAGGTTTTTGATGGCATTGCAATTATGCAGCGGGCATAATTGCATCAAAAGGGACTGAATGGACGAGGGGAGAGGGAGATGGATGGCTCCCAAAGCATAACCCCAATGCACCAGGGGATCTGGGTGCCCACCGTACCGGTGGGGCTCAGCCTGAGAACGGTATTTGGGGATAAGCACGGAAATCCCCACCCTCAGTGCTCTCCCCCATTGAAACAAGCCCCTCTGTCACCCTGCGGCGGGTGCTGTGAGCACCCTATTGGCTGCCCCCCTCTCCCCCCCTCCAGCCCCAGTTCACTGAGTGCTGCCTTTGCTTTCTCTCCACGTTCCAACGCGGCGCCGCGGGCTCTGCCCTTCCTTTTAGAGCAGCTTTTTCCCTGTCTGCAAAGCCTCCCTCCTCGCTGCCAGCCTGAGAGCAGACATCCGAGTGCCGGCCCGGGATCAATGAGCGCTGGGAGAGCAGCAGGAGGGCAGCCAGCCCCGCTGCCACCTCCTGTGTGTGTGTGTGTGTGTGCGCGTGCAATGAGGGATCTGCTCAGCCACGCGGCTTCATTCCCGTTTCCCCCCGTTTGCCCATGAGTTTTAAATGGAGGGAAGCCCCATTGATTGCACCGCTGTGCTGATGGAGGCCCTTTGCATTTGCTCTCTGCTCTGCCCCAAGCAAATATTTAACCTACATCAGTAACACCTCTGGGGAGACGGGGGAAAATACGATATCCTAGCAAAAGTTTAACCCCCCCTCCATTCCCTTCCAGCAAGCTGATGGCAGGCATGCAGGCAGGGCATACCTGGGTGCTCTCTGCAAGGAACTGCCACCAGGAGGATCAGATGGAGAATGCATCCCCAGAGAGCAATTAATGATAGCACAGCTCAGTGCTGTAACTCTGCTCCTCCCCGAGATCCCCAGCGAGGGGATCTCCATGCTGAGCCCAGAGGAGCAACTAACAAACCCCACACTCCCTTGTCACCATCTAAGCTCTTTAGCGAGTTTTAATTAAGTCTTAGTGAGAAATTTGTACTCGTTTCCAAGCTCACAGTGGGAATTAACCCAACCCGCAGGCAGCGATGCTGAGATAGGGCAGTGCTCAAGTGGCCCAGAGCCACCCTCACTCACCCACCAAACGTCAGCAGCCATGTCTTTTTCTCCTGCTGTGCAGTTCGAGGGTCCTTGCAGGAACTGGCCCCATCCCTGCCCTTCTTATCCCCAAGAGCTGAGCCTGCAGCTGCCTGGCCAGGAGGTGCAAGCACCAGCAGAAGGGCTGGCAGCGGTCTCCTTTAAAAAATGCATCCCATCCTCAGCGAAGCCGTCTATTTTTAGAGCCCTCAGAAGCATGCTTGGTTTTGGAGGAGATGCTCAAGCAGTAATTGTGAATAATTTAGGGAACGGAGTTTGGAGGCTGATGTCAGCGGCCGTGCCACTAAGGGACACTGAGTGCATGGCTTGGCTGCTCAGCCTGAATCCCACAGGGACACGCAGCCGTAGGAGCCTCTGTGGGAAGAGCAATGCTGTTGTGGTCACCCTGTGCCCAGCTGGAGAGAGATCCTGGGAGACCTATGGCACAGCTCTGCCACCCCCTGACTCCTCGGACTGCAAACTTACCCTGCCATGCATTATTCACACCTCTCATATATAATGCACAGCCCTACACCCACACCTGGCGCACGGCTCGGAGCTGCATGGCAACAGATGGACATTGCTGCTCAGCTCCATCGCTCCCATCCCACACCTCTCACCTGGAGGCCGGGCCCTGCTGCCCACTGCCTCGCTCCTGGCAGTCCCCCGGTGCTCTGCAGAGCCACATTCCGCCGTTTGCTGCCCTTGGTCCAGCCCAGCAGTGAGAGCGCAGCCAGAGCGCCCAGCGCATGCATGGCACCGCCTGCTCCCCAAAGGGTCCCCAGGACGGCTGCTGCAGAGTGCTCTGTCTGCAAGGGAGGAGAAAGCAACGTCCCTCTGCTCCTGTCTGCCGCTGTCTTAAGAGCAGATTAAAGCCCGGCCCTGCAAATTGCTGACATAACCTATTTCTTAGATGGGTGGACAGGTGGACTTTTCTCCCTCTGCAAATAACTGAGCTCAGATGGGAGCGGGTTTGCTCCCTGAGTGCCACCTCACTTGAATGCACAGCAATGGGGACAACGGCAGTCCCAGCACCCATCAACCCCTCACCTCGACCCCAGGGCCTCAGGAACACCCAAACCTTTTCTGTTCCTGCAGGAGGAATGACACAGAGCCCCATTTCCCTCCCATCTACCCGCACGTGCGGGCTGTCTGAAGGCAGCCAGGAACGGTGAGAGCAGGGAGATTTGCAAAGCAAACAGCGATCAAACAAAAAGGCTTTGGTTACTGTTCTCAAGGCTGTTTGCCAAGACACACAGATCATATCGGGCTCATTTACAGAAGGAAAACCAACGTAATTAGCGCTCAGGAAAACACTTTAATGAAAAGAGCGTTCGTGTAAAAAGTGATGGGACACTGCCCAGTGCTGCAGGAGGACCCAGAGCCACGCTGCTGCTGCACATCCCAGCTCAACGTGGTCACACTGCTGTGCTGCATGCACTGCAGCAGGCAGTAACCATGGCAGCAGAGAGATCTGCACGTGATATCAGCATTTCTGCAGTACAAAGGAGCCTCTTATCTGGGCTGAGCCAGTCGTCAGGCTGCTCCTCATTCCTCCACCTTGTGCTAGGACAGAGCCGTGCCATGCCATGGCATCCCATGCCACCCCATGTTGTGCTATGCCATGCTATGCCATATTGTGCCATGCTGTGCCTTGCCATCCTGTGCCATTCCGTGTCATGCCACCCTCTGCCATGCCATGCCATCTTATGCTATGTCATCTTATGCTATGCCATCCTATGTCATTCCACGTCATGACATTCCACGCCATGCTATCCCACCCCATGCTATGGCATACCATTTTATACCATCCCATGTCATGTCACTCCATGCCATGCTGTCCTATGCCATGCCATTCCACAACATTCCATCCCATCCCATCTTGTGCCATCCTATGTCATGCCATTCCATGCCATCCTATGCCATGCCATGTCATGCCATCCTACGTTGTGCCATTCTGTTCCATGCCATCTTATGCCATCCTATGTCACGCCGTTCCATGTCATGCTATCGTATGTCATGCCATGCCATGCCATCTCATGCTATGCCAAGCCATCCTATGGCAAGCCATGCCAAGTCATGCCACGCTGTGCCATGTGGTCCCAGCAGGTCCCAGGCAAGGCTGGCAATATGTCCCTGTGCAACAGCCCCTCTGCTTCATCTATCACTCTTTTCTGGTTGTTTTTGCCCTAGCTGTCATTGAATCATAGTGGTTGGAAAAGACCTCTAAGCTCCAAGTCTGACTCCCCCTCTCCCCCCATGCCCACAGATCACATCCCTTTGACTTCCAGCTCTTCACATGCATCCAGTAACCTCCACAAGGGGGGAAATGGAATGAAATAATAACATGGATATGTAATTCTTCCGATGACTCAAAGCCAGCTTGCTGGATGTTGCTCAGATCTCCCCGAGGCATTGGAAATGAACTGCACTTGGAAAGTTTCATCCCAAAACGAGAACAAGTAGATGAGGGAAGGTTGAGAAAAGAGATGTGGTATAGCAGGCAATATTGGTAGGTCAACTAGATGGTCTTAGAGGTCTTTTCCAACCTTAATGATTCTATGATCCTATTAAAGGAAGAATGTCACTCCTTATTTCGGGGTGTTAATTCCAAATGACTGCAGCTGAGACACAGTCTGAGATGCTCCCCTTTCCAGCAGAGCAAAGCAGGCATCGCTCAGCTCCGCTTCGCACCAAAGGTGACTCAGGCGCAGGACTGCAGCCTTGACTGTAAGCAGATCCATGCAACAGAAAAAATATATAGACAGAAACAGGATTCATGGATTTAGAAGCATGTCGTGCTGGCTATCTCCAGGTTTCGAGATTGAAACGCTTCATTTTATTTCAGGCTTCATAATTAAATGCCACTTAAAGGGACTTTCCATTTATCTTGCAATTTCTTTTAGGCCCAGATCTAATCCCCAAACCTGCTTATTTGTTTTTACTTTCGTTATAACCTTATCGGCGATTAACCTGCAATTGCACTTAATCTTTTTAAAAGATTGCTCTCACTATAAATAGAGAAGATACCTGCCCGGGCTCTGGCTATAGGAAAAGGGAAGCAGACAAATGTTTGCACTGGGTTATAAACCTCTGATAAATGGGTGAAATGAGGGAAATAGAAGCGAGAGAGAAGACTGCAATGCAGAATTTCCAGCACAGCTACCAGTGCTGGGCTGGCAGTGCTGGCTGCATGGACAGATCCCCATACACTGCATTAATATTATTAGAGCATCTCATTGCGGATCGATAAAATGCTCAGCCAGCATCAAAATGGAGCGAGCAAAAGCTGAGGGGAAATGCTGCAAAGGTATGTTCAGTGGGAACCAACACAAGGAGTGTCCATTGCACGTGTAGCAAGAGAGCTGTGGACTGCAGCAGAGGGATGACTGATGGCCGGCCCCCAGCCAGCAGGATGAACATGGAGCTGCCCTGTCCCAACAGCCCTGCATGGCAAAGGGAGATGGGCTGGAAGCCCAACCCCACCTCGACCTTAATTATTACCTGGGAATAATCTCCAAAGCGCTAAAGCCGTAAACAGGTCCAGTGGGGGATGGCTTTAAGCCTTCATGTGCTTCCAGAATTACCAGTTATGTTTCCATTATCTTCTAATGCCATGTGTTGAAAACTCAAATCCTCTTGCAAGCGTTTGTCACTTCAGAAAGCTTTTTTTTTTTTTCTTTCCTCCTTCTGGGAACTGAAGAAGGTTGGGTATGAAGCAAAAGGATGGATATCAGGAAAAGGGATGGATATTAGGAAAAATGAAATGAAAGAGTGGTCCGGACTGGAAGGGGCTGCCCAGGGAAGTGGTTGAGTCACTGCCCGTGGAGGAGCTCTAGAAAAGTTGAGATGTTGTACTGAGGGACATGGATTAGTGGGGAAATATTGGTGGTAGGTGGATGGTTGGACTGGATGACCTTGAAGTCTTTTCCAACCGTGGGGATTCTGTGATTCTGTGACAAAAAGGTATGAACATTCTACTAGCAGTGTTACACGGCCACTGAAATGTGCTGGGAAATGTATGAGTCAGTGTGGGTCGGCTTTTTCCCCTCTCCATGGAATCATAGGATGGTTTGGGTTGGAGGGGCCTTAAGATCATCTCGTTCCACCCCTCTGCCATCTACCTATCTGAATCCTGCAGGAAGCTGAGAGGCTGTTTTCTCATTCCAACAGAGCATAAACCTTTCCCAAAGCATTTTTGTGTTGCTTTTAACAGAGCATTGCAGTGCCCTCCCGTGCTGCTCCACTTCCAGGCACAGAAAACCTGGAATTCTGAACTAAACCCACAGAAAATGAACGATAACCTAAGTGTGTTTATTGTAGATAGGGTGGATGATGAAAGCTGTTACAGAGCACTACCAATGTAAACTGTTCCACTAAACCATATCAAATCACAGCAGCACATCAGCCTGACTTTGCCACGTTTCCTGGTTTGTTTATGGAGGTATTTCTGTACCGCCAAGCACTTTGCTTCTGCCCAGCAGGGAACCACGTGCAAATAGCTGAGGACTCAAAATACAGAGGGAGGCGGGCAGGAGGTTGGGGTTTCCTCTGCGATGTTAAGAGCAGCAGGTGCCCACGGGGCATGTGGGAGTTCCTTGAAGTTTGGGTTTCTCCTCCGCCCCCAGGAGCTGCTGGCTGGCAGTGTGAGGCCGGGGGGGTCCCCCTATGTGCTCACTATGGTGATTTGAGTCTGTGCTTGGCTCCGGATCGCAGCCCAGATCCTTTCCAGATGAGTCACGCTCCCACTGCTTGTGACGACCTTGGGTCCAACAGAGAAGTCTTGTTGTTCTCCCTCGGGTGACTCAGCTTTGGAGGTGAAAAACTCTTCATGCTTTATCTGAGCAGGCACTCATTAACCATTCAGAGACATAAAAAGCCAAGTTCTTCTGGGCTGTCCCTCCGTGAGATCTCAGGCCTGATATTCAGAGGGAACGTGCACACAGATGCTCAATAGAACAGGTTTCCAGAGCACAGAACTTCAAATCATAGCATCACGAAGGTTGGAAAGACCACTGAGACCATCTAGTCTGAGACCATCACCAACACATGTGGCCAATCTAAACCATGTCCCTCAGTGCCACATCCCTCCCAGGGATGGTGACCCCCACCCCGTGCAGCTGTGCCCATCCCTCACCACCTCATACAGCTCCGGGTTCTGTTGGCAGTGGGTGAAGGTCTAAGCAGAGAAGAAAGGCAGAGCCCACCTGCAGCACCTACTTAGCAATGCCTACTTCCAATCTGTAGGAATAGTTAATGACTGAAAGCTTCTACCCAAGGCATGTGCCCAGTTCCTACTTGTGCCACCAGCCCCAACAGCAGCTTTGTTCTCATTTCTCTTCTTTCTCGTCTTCTTTCTCGTCTTCTTTCTCTGAGATCTCAGCAGCAAGTATCTCTTCATCCTCCTGGGCTGTTGGAATCACACGGATAGCGACTAAATTATCAGCAGATTTTGAGGATATCTCTTCTCCTGGAGGGGGCCTTGCCTTGGGGGAGGCAGTGGGTGACCTCCGGTGCACCGGTGACTTTGGTGGTATTGGACTGAAATTGGGATCCTGCAGTACAAAGATTAAAAAGGGCAAAATCAGCCTTGGGAGACCCTTGTTCACAGCAGGACGCCAGCCACATCCCCAGGCTTTGGCATCTGCGCTGCACAAAGTGTGTTTTGGGGAGCTTTACTGCTCACCATGCTCCCTGAGGTGAGCCACGTGAGACTGATCAAATGGCTCAGGTTGGAAGGGACCTCAAAGATCAGCCAGGGCAGCTGGATTGCAGCCTGCGTGCTTTGAGGTGAGGGAAGGTAGGACAGGCACAACAAAGCTTCCTTGCACCCAAAGCACCAACTCTTGCTTTGCCCCCCTGAGGGCTCTATCCTGGCAAAAGCTTTGCAGAGGTGCCCAGATGGGCCCATCCTCATGCCCTGGCTCCACCAGAGAAGGGGGTAGCTCCATCAGTATAGCAATGTGCTCCAGAGAGGGACCTGCATGAAGCCTCACTGTGCTTTCACGAAGCACTGCAGGAACACAGATGTGCTCAGCACCTCTCTGGGTATTTACCAGCCTGGTGGCTGCAGTGCATTCCTTCCCAGCTGTTTGCCCATCTCACTCTCCCCATTCTGACCTGTGCCTCCTGCATTGCCTTCAGCTGCCTCAGCTTCCAGCGCAGCTGTGCCAGGTGCCCTCTGCCTCCTGCCTTCCCCACAGCAGCCAGAGCAGCCTGGAAAAGCTTGGGGGTGTCAGCTTTGGGGGGAATGATCAGCGGGTCTCCAGGCCCTCCTTTCTCATCTTTGGGTTTATTATTGTTTTTCAGCATTTTCCTGCAGCAAAGACAAGAGATGATGTCAGCACAGGGTTAGATAACCTGTGATTGAGAAACCTCTCCGGTGGCTTTCAGGCCAGCTTTCAGCACACCACTCCATCCAGCCCACACTCACTTGGCCTTTTTACGCAGCAGCTTCTGAGACTCAGGGTAGTGCACCAGAATCTCATTCAAATCCTTCTTGTCCAAAATGAAAAGATTGGCAAATCCATGAGCCACAACGTTAGCAGTTCGGCGATTCCCTCCTCCAGCTGCCAGCAAGCTGAGTGGAACACCAAGAGACTTAAGCACGGCTCCTGTGTCACCTTCAGCTGCTGCAGCCAAAGCCCAGAGAGCTGTGGGTGCCCATCCCTGAGTTGCCCCATGGATGCCCATGGATGGGCCCTGGGCAGTGTGAGCTGGGGGGCACCCAGCCCATAGCAGGGGTTGGGGCTGGTTGGGCTCTTCCAACCTAAGCCATTCTAATGGGCTCAGCACAGCACCCTTAGTATAAAACCTCCCTCTTCCCATCATATGCTTCCAGTTCGCTCTTCTAGACGACTCAGGGTCTAATTATTATTACCCACAATGAAATTTTCCAAGCCTCACTTTTAAAGAACGAAACTCTACTAATAAAATCCCACCTGCCCTCTGAGGTTTTAATATTGCAATCTGAACCATCCTTGAGTATGATGGGCTATGGGTAGGCAAGCAGGATGCTACATGCCCATGGCCCCTCAGAGGGCTGTGTCCTCCCAGCAGTGCTTTGCTGACCTTATTTCTCCAAACACCGATCCAGCTTTCAGTGTCACCAGCACAGTTTTGCCATCAGGTCCCCCCAGCACCTGCACTTGTCCTGCCTGGATAATGTACATCTCACGGCCGATTTCCCCCTGTAACAGAGATGGACACAGTGCGGGGTGCCCAGAAATGGGACACCCATCCCACACAGCAGCCCAGTACCTTCTTGCAGACAAAATCATTGGGCAGGTAGACCACCGACCGGAGCCTCTTCAGCATGTCGAAGATCATCTGTCTGTCACAGCCCTGAGCCCAAATGGAGCCAACAGCAGTCAGCCCGTGCCAATGGAGCCGGGCACTGCGGGACAGAGCCCACCTTGTAGGCATACCTGAAAGAGGGCCACTTTGCTGACGATGCTGTAGTTCACATCGATGGCGATGTCCAATCGCATCTTGTCCGGCAGCTGCACCAGCAGCTCAGACTCGTCTGTGAGATGCAGAATAGAAAACTGTGTTTCCAGCACTTTCCCAATGAGCTCAGCACCCAGTGCTGCAGTGGCGATGGGTGACGCCACAGCTCTGCATCCCATTAGCAGCCCATGCGCAAGCCCATATCCAATACCATACACACCATAAATATGTATAGGGAAAGAGTTAAATAAACATCTCCTGCCCCAAACCCATAGTGCTATTTGCTTGCCTGCTCTTTGACAACTAGATTTCAGCAAAGCAAATGTAGTGAAATACACACGGAGCACGATGATGGCCCTCTGAGCACAACATGGCCCTCCTAGAGGCTCTCACCTAGCATGCCTTGTGAATGCCACGTGTACTCGTACCACGTTTTGACCCGGTTCTGGACTGTTCTGGGGATTTTGTAGAAGTTCATGTACTTGATGGTGCTGTCCATGCAGCTCCGGTAGTACGTCTGCCCGGCAGTGGCAGCACCCACCACATCCCTCATCTGCAGGGCAGGAAGAGTTGGAAGAGATGGTTTTAGTTGTTTAGTTGTTAGTTTAGCTGTTATCACCTCTCATATGGGTCAAGCAGCTCAGGGAGTGTGGACATCAGCTGTGTGTTAACAGGGGGCTCCCAGCATCCACCACATCCTTTTTGCTGAGCAGCTAAGGAGCCCCTGCTCAGGGAACACAAACATGGAAGTAACACTGTGGACCGACCCCACCGCAGAGCCTGCCTCCCATCCCAGCTGGGACCCCCTCCACTCACCTGCCCAATCATGACAGAGAAAGCAAAGACACCCGTGAAGTAGTTGAGCAGCTGGAAGACGATCTCAAACAGCGTCTTGGGATCTGGCAGGCCCCCAATGGTGATGAGGGTTTTGACTGCCCAATAATAGCAGCGGATGTAGCTGAGAGGGGCAGAGGATGCAGTTGTGGTTACGTTTCAGGCATGAAACCCCCCAGACTGAACTCACCATCCATGTACCATGCTCATAATACAGCCCATATTACAGCAGGAAACACTGACAGTCACTCTCCCACTTACAGTGCATGATAAGCCTTTAACACACTTGCACAAGCCTTTATTTTTTCAGCCAGCTCTCATTTACTGCACAGGAGAATGGTGCTGAGTTAATTAACCATTATTTGGTATCTCATTTTGCCCATGTTGTACAACACACAGCTGTGGGCATTACTCACCAGGCAGCATTCAGCTCATGAGCCAAGTGCTGCATGTGCAGTGCTCTCTTCTCCTGTGGCATCCTTGTCCCCAGCACCGAGCTCCCAGTTTGCAGCCCCTTTGACCCATCATTGCTGTAGATCTCAGCTCAGCCACAGCCCCTTCACCCGCTCTGCCCACACCACTCCTCTCACCCTCAGCATTCCCCACATCTCCTCCTGGGTCCCTCCAATAGTGGGCACAGGTGATGGGTTGATGGCTGGACTGGATGATCTCAGTGGTCTTTTCCAGCCTTAATAGTTCTATGATTCTACAACCCTTGCTTCAGAGATTTGTACGGACCCAGCCACAACCAAACACATTTCTTGCTCCCATCCATCAGAGCATGCTGTGCTACGTGATGACCCAAGTCCTGGCTCATACCTGTTTCCTTCCCCATCGTAGACCCAGGTGGTGGAGCCCAGACCTTCGTAGGCTGACGCCCAGTAGTAGAGGCAGGAGTTCACATGCAAGCTGTACAGCAAGTAGGCAGTGGTCCGAATCACTCTGGACAACAAAAAGTACAAGGAGTGAATGGGAGGGAAGAAGACATGGTGTTTGCTGGGACAAACACACGGCATTGGCTCTGGCATCACAAGGGACAGCAAGCAGTAGCCTTAGGGCAAGACAGAAAGACAGAACTGGTGTGTGCCAAAAACACTTTCCCCAGTAACAAACAGTGATAGATATCACCTCCCTCCACAAATGATCCCCCTCACCTGTAGATGTACGCCTTGCTCAGGATGGCCTCCAGGCGGTTGTTGAACTCAAAGAAGGCCAGGTACTGGGAGGAGAAGGAGAGCAGTGTGCTCTGGCATGCCGTGGCTTCCTGAGAAGCCACCAACCAGGGGACACCTCCCCACAATGACATCTGTGAGCCCAACTGCCCAGGATCCTCCACAGCACGAACAGCCATGGGTACAATTGGCTCCATCTGTACCCACCCTTCTTTGGAAATGTGAGAGTAATAAGATGGAAATATTGACCAACAGCCCCTGAAGGCCTTTGAAACAAGACTTGCCATCCATTGTACAGCATCCTCTCATTAAGTAGTATGGCTGTAGCCACCCAAATCAGCATGGGACTTTTCCACTCACCTTCAGGCAGCGGGGAAAACGCAGGAGAGGGTTGACACCGACTTTGAAGTAGAAGAAATCCAAGGGAAGGAGGCACACCACATCCATCTGAAACCCATACGTAGAGAAGGACATCAATGGGGACCTGCAGGCCCAGTGGGGTGGAACTACAGGCCATGTCACAGACTGGAGGCACAAAGGAATAAAGTCACACCAAACCTTAAAGCGTTGCGATCGCAGGTAGTTCTCTTTCATGGCCTTTTTGTCGCTCTGGTTGGGAATAGCAGGGAAGAGAGGGAAAGGTTATCTTAGATGTCTTTTCCAACCTTAAGGATTCTACAACTGTGTGATTGAGTGATGTTTGCAGAGAACAAGGTCACCACCAATGTGGTCGTGCTTGGCTTTCCCCTCCTTTACCACAGTGGGGAACCTGGTGTGCATGGAAGGGGAGCAGAGAAGGAGGAGCAGAAGACCTGGCTGCAGGCCTTCATCTCACCCTTTTTCAGGACAAGCCTTGTTCATTTCTCACCCCAGAGGAACTGCACTGCAGTCCTAGCACCACAGAAACCAGGGCTTACAGGAAAAACCTCAACATCTGGATCTTCCCTGAGCAGACCCAGCCCCAATGGGAAGGTGAAGATCAACCCCACCATGGTGGGAGACACCAACAGCCAGACCATTGGTTCTACTGGGGGTGATGGGTAGGATTTCCCCATGGCCACGACCCTCTGTGGGATGCATGCTGCCACTCACTATGATGTCTCCTCCTCGGACAAACTGCAGGCGAGTCTGAAAGACGACGATGTCCAGCAGGTAGATGAGGTCACACAGGTAGTCCATGAGCAGCCAGTAGTGGATGTTGGCTGGCGTTTGGTAGGGGAAGGCCCAGCGGACAGGGATCAGCCAGCAGTTCCAGTTCCAGGCCAGGACAACAAAGAACAGCCATAGCACGTACACCAGATCTAAGCACAGGGAAACATGTTGGCTGCACATCCCTCTGCCATGCAAGCCCACACCTCCCATAGACCAGGCTGCCCAGAGCCCCATCCAGCCTGGCCTTGAGCACCTCCAAGGATGGGGCACCCACAGCTCTGGGCAGCTGTGCCAGGGCATCACTGCCCTCTGAGTAAAGAAATTCTGCTGCCCCCTCCATGTCCCACCCAGCCTCCTCCCAGCCTGACCACGCTCCTCCTCTCACTGGTGAGTGGGTCGATGCTGCTGGGGAACTGGTAGCTTTTCAGGCGGTCCATCCAGGGCTGGCACTTGAAGGTGCAGCACAGCATCTCACAGTAGTGCTCATCCTCCGCTGGCTTTTCCCCCACCTGTGCATCCCCCGGGGGTGGGGGTGGTGCTGTGGGTGCTGGCTTGGAGGGTGCTGGGAGAAAATCACAGAATAGCTTAGGTTGGAAGGGACCTTATGGATCACCTAGTTCCAAACCCCTCCTGCCACCAGCCTAGGCTGCCCAGGGCCCCATCCATGGCCTCAGGCACCACCAGGGATGGAGCACCCACAGCTCTTGGGCAGCAGTGTCAGTGCCTCGCCACCCTCTGAGTAGAGTTGTAGAACTACAGAACATCCTGAACTGTAGGGGACCCACAAGGAGCACTGAGTCCTGCCCCTGGCTCCACGCAAACACAGACCCGACGCGTGAGGGCGGTACCCCAATGCTCCCTGGGCTCCAGCAGCTGAGGGCCATGCCCACTGCTCTGTGGAGCTGCTCCATGCCTCTTGTCCCCCAGCCTGCACATAGAACCAGGGCTGCCCCATCCCACGTGCCTAATCTGCCATTCCCAGCCTCCCAACCCAACCTGAACTCACATGCTGTAGGGCTCTCCTCATCAGAGGTGACATCGGGGTCAGTCAGCTTCTCCTTCACCTTCTCTGTTCGCTCCTTGAAGAGCCTCACCAGCTCCTGCAGGCGGTCGTGGATGACAGCACTGCTCTGGCTGGTGGCCGAGCCGATGCGCTCAGGCAGGCTGTGGGGTGGGAAAGCACAGGGACACATCCAGCACCGCTCCCTCTCCCTCTGGTGTCCCCGCGTGTCCAAGACCTGCACTATTTCTGCCACCATGTACCTGTCCCGCTGCTCCTCGTCCCAGTTCCCTTCTCCCAGGCCATCTGCAGGGGCTGGCACCTTCCTCCTGCAGACACAAAGCAGAGCTGTGCTGAGCTGCAAGCCCACACACCCCCAGCCTGCATCTCCTGTGATGAGAAGCAAAGCCAATGTCACGCAGTGTGAGTGGTGCAAGGGCAGCACAGAGCTCTGCCCCATAACTCTCCCATTTGGGGGCAGTGAGTTTGTTTCCTTGCCATGGAAGATGCTCGGGGCTGAATAACCCAAAGCCATGGCAGTGGGTTGCTGGGACCCTGGCTCTGAGAGTGTCTGAGACGCGGGGCGTGCATGGGATCAGCCTGAGTTGCGGTTTCCTACTTCTGATGATGGTCTGAAAGGAAGCCCGGCTCCTGGATGCTGATTCAAAGGCGGTTAAACGGCGCTTCTCAGCCCTCTGCTGGCAGCAGCTGGCAGTGCCACCGAGAATCACAATCGTCACTGAACGGTTGGGTTGGAAGGGACCTCACAGCCCACCCAGCCCCAACCCCTGCCAGGACTGCCCGCCCCACTCCTCAGGCTGCCCAGAGCCCATCCACGTCCTGGGGCAGCTCCACGATGGGGCGCACACAGCTCTGGGCAGCAGTGCCAGCGCCTCACCGCCCTCTGAGGGAAGGATTTACTCCTGACACCTAACCTACAACTCCATCTTTCTCCAATCTGGAGATAAGGATATGCTGTAGGACCACGTTGAAAACCTTGTACCAGTCCAGGGAGACAACATCAGCTGCCTTTCTTTTTTCCATCATGCCGTGCAAACACAGCCATCCTTCACTCCCTGCTCCAGCACTGAGGCAGCACACACTGGGGTCGGGGGTCCCTACCTGGGGGAGGCTCCAGGCACCACCAGCATGTGTGGGGAGCCGGGGGTGGGCAGTGGCAAGCGGGTGCCATCATCTTCCACGGGGTCACCTCCACCGTCCACGTCCTCGATGCCCACAGCAGGGCAGCACCTCAGCCCTGGGGGGGACAAGGACAGAGTGAGGGGTGTCCCATAGCTCAGTGCCCTGCCAGACACCCGTCTTCCTGTCTGCTCAGCACGAGTGGGTTTGTGGGAACGCTGGGGAGAGAAGGTGTGCGTGCAATGGGCTCAGCAGGATGTCTGCGGGCAGCCAAGTGGGAGCTGTCATTCGTGGCTGTTTGTTAGGGGCTGAGGCAGCAAGGCACGTCACGGTGAAGCAGAAAAAGAGGAATATCATTCCCCAGCCTCTGTGCTGCAACATGAAGCGTGCTTTTATTTTGTGTTTCTATACAAGAAGCAGCTAGGAACAGCGCCCACCCCCAAGCCACGCAAGCCCATCGCCTAATACCTAAGGGGTGGGCAGGGGTTTGCTCCTCATTGCAAAAATTGGGGTTGACCACTCCAGCCTTCCACCTGCCGGCAGCGAGGACGGGGATGCGGTAGCTGGGGACATTGGGGAGCTGCTCTAGCATGGGATGGGACGCGTCCCCGCGGTCGGGCGGCGTGTCGTGCACCAGCCGGTCTAGCTCAACGTCTCGGGAGCGCTTGGCCATGCTGCTAGGTGCCTAGGTGCTTCAAGCAAGGGCAGGGCTGCAATGAGAGACAGAAGGGTCGGAGACAGGACGGTTACGTCAGCACAGAGACGCGGGGCTGGTGGTGGTTCGTTGGCATTGGCAGCACGGTGAGCTGCGCGCACCCATGGCACAGCGCTGCGGTGCCTCTGCGTGCTCAGCACATCCTGACCCAACACCGCGCTGCTCTGCGCCGTACCTGCAGTGTCTGCTCCTGCAGTTTCTTCCTGCGCCGCCTGCTCTTGCACCTTCAGAATGGAAAAGGAAACAGAAAGCCATTTGAAGGAGAAAAACAGCCTTTGTGGTGCGGTGCTGCGTAACCAAAGCTGAGCCCGAGGTGCACATGGAGCTCCGTACCTGTATGAAAGCCCCTTCCAGATCGCTTATCTCAGCTTCTTCCCGTCGTGCAAAGCTGAGGGCCTCTTCTGCATAGAAGGTGTCCTCTGGCCCCTCATCTGTGGAGGGGCACAGGAAATGGGGCAGGGTCCTGTGGGACAGACGGAGCACAGCTGGGGCTGAGCTGGGCATGGTGAGGCAGCCCTCAGGGTCCAGCCGCAGGGCACCAAGCCGCCCATTGCTCCAACAGCAACGCACACATCAAGCCTTTCAGGCTGGGAGGTGTTTCCCTGACCTAGGAACCTGTTGACATCTGTGCTTTCCCATAAGCAAGTAGAGAGGAGGATGGAGAGTGCCTCCTTCACCAACCACTGTAGCACAGGGGACCGACAGCAGCGTGCAAACACACCCACAGTGCTGGGTTGGACATCTCGCCACGTGAAATCACAGCAAACCACAAACTGAACAGGAAGATCCCTTTAAATACACCCTGCTCAGAAGTCGCTGCCTGCAGTGGCTGTTTTCTGCAGCAGGAAAAGAAGCAAAAACGCACCTACTGTTCCTCGGCAGCACTTGCTGTCGTTGCATCCAGCTCCGACCTGCTCCCAGCGATGCCAAATGCAGGAAGTAACGGAGCTGGCGGCAGCGCCGTGCCCCGGGATCAGGCACAGCCCAGGGCTGCTGGCGCTGTTGCTACGGTGGCTGCGGAGCCGGCGCTGCCGTCTCCAGGAGATGCGCGCAGCACCGGGAGAGCGTCAGCAGCAAACCCAGCAACCAGACGGATTGCGAAAGCATCCCCAAATCACCCTCCCCCAAAGCATCATACATGCATCTGAGCCAACCGCTGCTTGCACGCTGGTCTCCTTTCCCTGTGCTGCACTCACCCTGTGCTCTCCTCCACCTCCACCTCCTCCTCCTCTTCCTCCTCCTCCTCCTTCTCCTCTTCTCCCTCCTCCTCCTGCTCTTCAGCTGCACTCGGGGCGCAGGACCACAGCCTGAAAAGGAGCAGCTCATCGGGTGAAACGCATAAAATGGGACTGAGCTGTGCCCCCCCCCGCTCAGGCTGCCCAGAGCCCCATCCATGGCCTTGGGCATCTCCAGGGATGGGGCACCCACAGCTTTGGGCTGCAGTGCCACGATCTCCCCAGAAAAACCCATGACAAATGGATGGCAGTGAGGTCTAAACCCTTCAGCCGTACTGGGAAGAGCCATTCTTGGCCATCCCATAGATCCTGAGAATGCCAGGAGAAAAACAGCCCCCTGCCCTACCTTGTTTCCTCCTCTTGCAGCTCCTCCTCGATGGGGGGAAGGGGATAGCCCTGTGTTCCCAGCTCAGCTATGTCATCCCAGCCCGTTGTTTCATGCATGCCTTCAGCTCTCCAGCCATCATCAAGCTCCTCCAGCACAAGGTCCATCTCTTGGGGCTCCACAGGGACAATATGAACTGAAAAGGGATTGGATAAAGCTCTGCAGTGCTAAGCCCCAGGCTTGGCCCCAGTGGGCAGTGCCACGGGTACTGCTGGAGCTCCTCTGGCACCCCACTATGCCCCAGCATTGCCTATATGGGGCTGCAAAGTGCACAGCCCCACACACGTGTACCCAACCAACAATCAGGATGGATAAGGACATCAGTGCGGTGTAAAACCAATTTATTGTGGGGCACTGGGGGGAATTCACACATCCACCATGAAACCAAGAGGAAACATACCAATTGCAATACAGAAGGGCAGAAAATCCAGTTGTGCCATCCGCTCTGCACTATATGTACCAAACCACCCAGGAGCCCACCCTCCCCCCAAATCTACTGGTTCCAGCAGGGTGCGTTACGTATAAACACAATGGCTGGGGCTCAGTTGGGTCACTTCATCATTGTCCTAAAGGGATGTGGGGATGGGGTGTGCGCCCAATGCTTGGCACTTGGGGCTCTTGCCCACCCCAAATCGTGAGCCCCAAGCTCTGTTCCCACTGTTCCTGGTGCTGCTGCCTTTCCTCCCCAGCTGCTCTCTCTCCATGGGTCGATCCCATGTGCTGGGAGCCCTCCTCTGTCTTCGTTTTCCATTTGTTTCAGAGGCGCTAAGCCCCTTTGCCCCCTGAAACAAAAGGAGAAGGAAAACATTAGGAGCTGTGGGTTTGTGCTGCAGCTCGCTCCCTGCACTCATGGCTGGCAGAGCAGCTGGCACAGAGCATCTTGGGGTGCCCTACAGAAGCAGCAGCACAAACCCCACTGCTCTTCCCTAAGAGAGCATATACTCACGTGCCATATATCTAACCCCCCCAGCAGCAGGAGCTTGCTTTCCTTGGGTACCCTCTCCCAAAATCTGACAACAGAAGAGCAGGCTGTGAGAGGTGAGCACTTACTTTCCTCCACAGGGCTGAAGGCTGTGGTGGCTGCTCCCTGCCAGGAGAAAAGGGCAGTGTCAGGCACGGTCCCTGCCCTCCCTGCCCACCCCAGGGCCCACTTTGCCCTCCCACCTGCAACAACACTGCAGGCCCAGCAGCAGGATCGCACTGGGAGAGGCCCCACTGATGCCCCAGCACACCTACCCACCCCCAAAGCCCTGCACCCAGCACCCACCTCCCTTGCTTCCCAGCATCTCCCTGCAGACCCCATACCTGCACATCCTGCTTCTCCCTGGGCACGGGCTGTGGCATCACCTTCTCCAGCCCCTGGACGAACCAGCCAAACATGCTGCCAAGCAGAAACCCCCCATCAGACCCCACATTGCTCCCACCACATCCCCACCAGAACTGTCACAGCCCATACCTGCCGCTGTCCCCAACCAGGGACCGAGGGAGGAGGGTGGTGGTCCCTGGGTCTGGCTGCCCTTCTCCCACCGCCGGCTCCACCACTCCTGGGATGTTGTCTTTGGGCTTCACCCGACTTTTAGTCCCTTTTGCGCCTGCTCAGGTTCGGTCCCAAAGAGCAAGGGGTCAGGCAGTGCAGACATCACCTGAGGGGGCACTGCACGTCCCTGCGAAGCGCTCACCTCCTGCTGTGGCACTGCACCGCTCCTCCTTCGGCTCCGGCTGCAGACAGAGGGATGGACACGGCCACGTGCTGCTGCTGTCCCGTGTGCTCTGCGCGTTGCATCTGCCCTCCCCCCTCCTCTCTCAAGGCCACGTCTGGCCCCAGTGGGTTGCTTGAGTGTTGGAGTGGGCAGGGAATGCCCAGGGAAACCCCCCATTGCCTTGGGAGAGGGGCTGCAGCACTGCAATGCCACAGCAGCACCCACAGCTGTGCTCACCTCGGGCCTTTTTGGCACCTCTGGCTGCGGCACCATCCTCTCAAAGCCCTGCACCAGCCAGCTCAGCACGCGCGCTCCTGCCCTGCAGGGAGAGCAGTTGTGGTCAGAGATCACCCTGTATCCTGCACCCCACGTCCTGCATCCCTCCATCCCACAACTCACGTCCTGCATCCCTCCAATCCCACATCTGTCCATCCCACATCGTGTCAGACAATCCCAAATCCTGCATCTCACATCCCATGTCTACCTCTAATCCTGCGTCCTGCAACTTAAATCCCTCATCCCACAGTCCTTTATCCCAAATCCCTCATCCTACAATCCCTTATCCCACATCCTTCATCTCCCATCTCACATCACTCCATCCTAAATCCAATATCCCACATGCATCCTACATTCTGTATCCCTACTCCCCGTATCTCACATCTCTCTGTGCTGTGTCTGTCCATCCTAAATCTCATACCTCACATCCCTCCATCCCATATACCGCATCCTGCATCCCACATCCCATGTCTGCCCATCCCATACTCCACATCCCTCCACCCCATGCCACCCCTCTGCCCGCTGATGGGGTGCTGCACACAGGGAACCCACCAGCTCTCCATGCCCATGTCCAAGCCATCCTCCAGCTCGCAGCCATCCAGCTCATCCTCCTCGGGGTCAAAGGGAGTTATCTCTGCAGGGAGAGCAGGATTGGGTGTGCAGGAGCTGACAATCAGGAGGGAACCTCAAACCACAGGCTCACTGCTCCCCTTACCCAGAGCATCCTCATCCTCATCCTTGAGGACCTGCACCTCTGTCTGGAAAGGCAGAAAGTATTACCTGGTGGGGCAAGGGGGGAAATCTGCCCTTTGCCCAGAGTTGGGTGAAGGCAGGAAGCCACGTGGGGCAGAGGGATCTCCCCCTGGTTTGTGGATCTTCTAAAAGAACCCAGAAGCCAGGATGTGGGGACAGGCCCACGACCCACCTGGTCGGGGACATCAACGCTGGTCTCGAAGCTCTTCCCAAGCGCTTGCAGCGACCCCGGAGCTGGTGCTGGCTGTGGGACCACCTTCTCCAGCCCCTGGGAGATCCAGGACAGCACACTGCTCCCCACGCTGCAGGGCAGGGCTGTGTCAGGCGGGCGCAGGGCAGCAGTGTCCCCATCCCCACTGCACCCCAGTACCTCTCAAACACCGATGCTGATGCAGGGGCCGGGTCCTCAGCGACTGCAAATTCCACTTTCTTCTCTGTTTCTTTGATAACAGCTGGAAAAAGGCAGCTCCTGTCACTGCTCCGCATGCAGGTGGGGGTGGGGGGCTTAGCAGAGCTTACCCTGCGTGCCATCCGCAGCATCCCCTGTGCTGGCCTTCCCTGCTGGCACCTGGGGTGAGAGATGGCCTCAGAACAGAGGTGCTGGGTGGCGGCGTCCCCAAAGCCTCCACCAAAGGGATGCTATGAGCTCTGGCTCTCCACTCCCCTGCTCACCTTGGCAGGCTGTGGGGCCGCAGGGCTCTCCTCAGGCAGGTTCTGTGCTGGGGGCTGTGGGACCACCCGTTCGATCCAGCCCAGCATTGCCGTGCAGCGGGGACGGCCGTCCCCAGTTCAGTCCTCTTGCAAAGGTCCTGGGCTTCCTTCCTCCTTGTTCCTGCTTGGGCACAGCCAGACCGAGGCCGGCTCAGCCCCACGCCTCACCCCTGCCATGAGCCACCCTCCCTGCTTCATTTAAGCTCATGTGCTCAGCAAACACTGTACTTCTCCGTCCCTTTCTCACCCCGCTTGCTGTGGCACAGTGACCTGGTGGCAGCTGAGTGAGGACATCTGATGGCTCATACTGAGGATATCTCCTGATGTTCCCTCTCCAAAGAGCATCACTCTGCCCTAAATTCCCATCCCATTCGGGCCTCTATCTTCTTGCCTGAGTGCTGGTAAACCCCACACCAGGGGCCTGATGACCAGAAACCAACTAAGAAATTGCCTTTCACCCCCCATGGATATAAGGGATTAAGGAGCTGCAAATAGAGACATTATCCAGGGGACAAAAGGGACAGCAAGGAACACCGTGCAGCACACTGCCATTCCCACGCTTTGGAACACTTGCAGCTCCTGCAAGCAGCCCAGGGACAATGCCTGCAGCTCACTCACCCCATGACCCCGTGCCCCAGGACACCCCAGGACACCCCATGACATAGATGCTCCTGCTGATCCCAAGCCCACCCCACCTTCCCAGACATTAGCACCATGCTGCCTGCAAATGGGATTACCCATACCAACCATCTCCTACTGCCCACCTCCCGGCTGCCAGCCCGACTTCAGAGCTAGAAGACCCCAAAACAGAGCAGCTGAGAACATCCTAGAAAGCCCAGCAGCCACAGGTCAGCCCCAGGCACTTACCGTGGGGGCACGAGCAGCGCTGCTGGGTCCTGGCCGCCCTCCGGGTGCGGTGTAAGGAGGAACCCCAAGTGTGAGGCACCCGTCCTGCTGCGCTCGGTGCTGGCCTGAAGGATCTGGGGCAGGAGGCAACAAATCTGCGCTGGGCTGGGTTAAGCCTCCCCTTGCTGAGCCTGCCAATTGCTGCTTGATCCGTTTACCTCCTGCCCTGCGGCACCAGCGGCATTTCCCAGCGCCCCTAATCCCTGTGTGAGCGCAGGGACACGGCGCGTTTTTGTTTAAAAGATCTGCTATGACATCAAGTTAAACTATACAGTACTTCTTTAATGAATATTAACAAACTGCTTTAAAAAAAAAAAAAAAGGAAAAACAACAAAAACAAAAACAAAACAAAAAACAAAACAAAAGAAACGCGGACAGAAAACTCGGTAGGAAGTTCTACATCTCTGATGCAGCATGAAGTTAGGATGAGCATCGGTCCCTCTTCCCTGGGCAGCAGAGAGGAAGGTCTGTTTGCAGCTCCGGGAAGCTGCACGAGGAGACAGCCCCAAGGCCACTGAGTGCCCCAGCCCCGTGGCCATGCACTCTGCTCCTCCTCTGTGCTGGAGATGGAACTGGAAGCTTCTCTCCACCTTTTAGTGTCCACCATCTGCAAAGCAGGCACGGCCCAGCTCTGTGCAAGGTCCATCTGCCTAGACTTTAAACTCGTCCTAATCACCAGCTCAGCATGCAGGCAATCTGCGGGCTGCTGTTTGCTAACTAGAGCTGGTCGGAACACCTCCGGCTCACCCAATGGACAACCCAGGGCACAGGAGGGCTGAGACTGGACCTGCACTGAAGCTGGAGCAATACGACAGGTAGTCCAGCACCACATCCAGCTGGGCTAGAGCACAGAGAGTTGTTAACATTCTGATATCTCCAAACATGGAGAGGGGAAGGCTGGCAGCAAGGCGGCAGGCACACCTTCAACCCTGAGGGCATCCAGCTGGCACCTCATGGGGCTCTTGGCCAAAGGAAGCCAGCAAAATCCTGCAGAGGAAAACACCTGAGGCTGCACCAACCTTGCTAGGGGAGATTTATTTTTAAGTGACGTTTACAAGAACTGTGCAAAACCTGAAAAAACGGAAGAGGTAAAGAAAGAGTAAAGGGGTAAATCAGGACTCCCGCAAGAGGGGAAAAATAACCCCTCCTTTATCCACTGCTAACCTTCCCCTTTCTCTGGAGCTGAGCCCACAGGGCAGGAAGGGTCCTCCCAACTTGTTCTGGACAGAACTGGTTCCCCCCAGCAAATCAGACACCCCAGAGCACCACGTGGGTCACCACCGGAGATGGCCGAGACCATTCCTGAGGCTGCAGGTTCTTTGTAGTGTTCACCTCACCCCTTAGTGTTCAAGCTGCGGGGACGTCCCTGTGCCTGACCCTGGAGGTGTGCTCATGGCCTAAGCAGAGCAGGGAGGGAAGAAGCCTGGGAATGGAGGTAAGTCTTCACGGGAGAGCAAGGTCCCTCCGGAGGCAGCTGGTCAATGCCATGCTCACAACCAGGAGTGGAGACTCTCCTTACCACACTCTCTGCAGCGTGTGGTGCTCGGTACCCTTCCCTCACTGCCAGCAGGGATGGGGATGGGCAGGCTTGCTCAAAACTATTCCCAAGTGTGACAGCCACCAACTGCAAGAGCAGCAACGCCAAAGTGTATTTTGGAGGTGTGCAATCCCACGGCTTTTCCCTTTCTATGCTCTAGAAAGAAGGAGAGCAGGGGAGGTCGGGGCAGTTGATAAATGTTAATGATCTGAAACGGTCCCCTCGAGTCACTCATTTGAGTTTGGATTAACAACACTGGGAGAGCCCAGCACGGAAACCTGCCACGTCCCCAGTGAGCAGCGCACCCAGAGGGAGCGCTCCGCTTTGCTCCCAAGCACTCTCTGCAAGAGGAGTCACCAGGTGGGACAGAGAAAAGGGGCTGCATGCAGAGGGCGGCTGAGCAGAGCCCTGCCAGCTCCCAGCACTGCTACATGGGTACGGTGGGAAGCACAGTCCAGGGGACACCAGGCAGCTCCAGGCATGGCTTCCTCTCACCACTTCCCTCCTCTCCTCTCCACTCTCTCTGAGCTTTTCACACCATCCTTCAACCCCTGTGCTACAGTGGGTACAAACCATGGAGGCCAGAGGAAGGCTTCCCCCCCCCACCCACCCGCCGGACCTCCCCTTTCCCCCAGCACTCCCTGGAGGCCGCCTCCAGCTGAGGAGAGGGAAGGGGAGGCCGAGGCTCGGGGCATCACATGCAAGCTGAAAGCCACCAGGAGCAGGAGGCTCACGGCAAGCAGGCGGCCACCTGGTAGGCGCCCTCGGCCGTGTGCTGGACGCTGTGCTCCTGCAGCAGGCCCAAGTCCAGGAAGCGCTCCCCGCACCACATGCACTTGTACTGCTGCTCGCGGGCGTGCACGCTGTGGTGCTTGTTGAGGTGCTCGCGCTGCTTGAAGGCCTTCTCGCAGGAGGGGCACTTGTAGGGCTTCTCGCCCGTGTGCACGCGCCGATGGCGCTGCAGGTCCGAGGCGTACTTGAAGCGCTTTTCACAGTCGGGGCACTTGAGGGGCTTCTCGCGGGCCGGGTCGCAGCGGTGCTGCACGAACTCGGAGGAGGAGAAGAAACGTCTCTCGCAGAGCGTGCACTTGAGGGGCTTCTCGGCGCAGTGGGCCAGCTGGTGCTTCTGCAGCGCCGAGGCCCGCTTGTAGGACTTGTTGCACACCGCGCACTTGAAGGGCCGCTCGGCGTTCTGCACGCACTTGTGCCGCAGCAGCTCCGAGGACTGGTTGAAGCCCTTCTGGCACACGTTGCACTTGAAGAGGTTCTCTATGCCGTGCACGTGCTGGTGGTACACCAGGTGCGAGGGCTGCACGAAGCCCTTCTCGCACAGGTTGCACTTGAAGGGCTCCTCGGCCTTGTGCGTGCGGCGGTGGCGCATGAGCGCGTACTGCTGCTTGAAGCTCATCTGGCACAGGTCGCACTTGAAGGGCCGCTCCTCGCTGTGCGTGCGCTCGTGCTGCCGCAGGTCCGAGGGCCGCTTGAAGGCCTTCTGGCACTCCCCGCAGCGGAAGGGCCGCTCGCCGCTGGGCGTGCAGGGGTGCTGCAGCAGCTCGGACGACTCCTTGAAGTGCAGCTCGCAGACGTTGCACTTGAAGAGGTGCTCCCCCGAGTGCGCGTACATGTGGCGCACCAGGTGCGAGCGGTGCTTGAAGGTCTTCTCGCACACTGTGCACTTGTAGGGCCGCTCCGAGCTGTGCGTCCGTTTGTGGTGCACCAGGTGGGACGACTGGCTGAAGCTCTTGTCGCACAGCGTGCACTTGTACGGCTTCTCGCCCGTGTGGATGCGCTCGTGCCGGGACAGCTCCGAGAGGTGCTTGAAGGTTTTCTGACAGATGGAGCAGCTGTAGGGCTTCTCCGAGGGATCGAGGGGCTGCGGGTGCTCGGCCTCGGGCGGCTTGTAGGTCTTCTCGCAGATGGAGCACTTCATGGCGTTGCCGTTGTGGACGTTGTGGTGTTGCGCCAGCGAGGTTAGGAGGGAGAAGCCCATCTTGCACACACCGCACACGAAGGGCTTCTGCTCCACCTGGATGCACTGGTGTTCCAGCAGGTCGGTGGCCTGGTGGAAGATCTTCAGACACTGCGTACACTGGAAAGAGCGGTCATGGCCCGGCAAGCACTGGTGCTCATGGGGGTTGGAGAGGTGAGTGAGGTCGTGGCCGCACACCCCGCATTTGTGGGACGGCTCCCCGGCCTGCAGCGGGGCGTGCTGGTGGTGCTGCAGGCCCGGGTCCGGCTGCAGCAGGATGCCGTAGACGGCACAGCCCAGGGGGTTTTCGGCGGTGCTGGGTGGGATGGAGTGTTCCGGGAGGGCGGTGGTCCCAGCGTGGTGCTGCTGCGGAGGTGGCGGCGGCTGCTGCGGTTGCTGCTGTTGCTGCTGCCAGCTTTCTGACATGCTTGGGAAAAAAAAACAGGGTTTTAGCAGTGACAGCTTCAGCTTCTCGGTCAGAAAGGTTCAAGTAAAAATAAAAATCAAAAGCATCCAAGACTCTGATTCCCTGTACCGATCCTGAAATTGAGGACAGGAAGCCCAGCCCACAGCCAGGATCCTGGGGAGCGAGGAGGCCGAGATGCCACGGGCTCCTCCTTGGATCTGCAGAAGTTCTTTGTGGACTGCGTGTTCCGGTTTTCTGTTTGGCTTTTTCTTTTTCTCTTTCCTTTTCTTGGACAAAAAAAAAAAAAAAAAGGCAGGCAGGTAGAAGCAAGTGCCTTGAAGACAAGAAGAGGCCCTTCTCTGTGCTGGCTGTGACGTGCTCACACACAGGCAGGGCGAGCGATGCAGCACAGGGAGCAGCTCTGCCTGCAAGAAGAAGACAGTTCATGTCAGATCTCAGACGACAGACAGGCAGCTCTCCAGTCAGGTGAGCTCACGGCTCACTTTGCAAACTCTCCTGCACCCCTGCAAAGCACCTGGGAGGCCATGGAGGGGAGCCGCCCAGAGCTGGAGCACTGCATGCTGCTGGCAGCAGCCAGGGACTCAGTGTAGAAAGAGACAGACCCTGCCTGGCCAACACAGCCACGGGTTTGCCTGGCGAGCTCTCACATGAAGCAGCAGAGGCTGCTTCAGTCCTCATCAGGCCCAGCATGTAATGTGGGGTCTGAGCAAAACGCTCACCCATTTCCACCGGAACAGTTCTAACAGGGTGAACACATCCATCTGTTTCTCTGTGCGGGCTGGGGTGTGCTAAATGCTGTGCAAAAAAGCTACCGAGTGAAATGTCACAAATACCAAGGCAGATTCCCACCCTAGAAAGGCAGTTCTGCCAGTCCCAACCTCCTCCTGAAGCCCCAGCATCGAGCACATCAACCTCTGACAGAGCCAAGGGAGGGAGGTATTCATGAAGTTTCCTCTCTGCCTGTAGGAAGAGCCAGAGAAGATAGAGAAGGGTTTGCCCTCGGTGTTACCCTGCCTGCAGACAAAACAGAACCTGCAGGCATCGTGCAAAGCACGATCAAAGAGGCACTGCTGCAATGGCTCGGCCAAGCCTTCCTGCAAAGTTCAGGATAACTGAACGCTGGGGCCCAGCATCTTGCCCCAGAGGCACTGCTTGGCCTTGCTGTATGGTTCTTCTCACAGATAAAACCCAGTACTGACCAAGAGAAGTGTTAACTCCGCCAGTGAGCAGTGGGTATGAACAAGTGACGAGACACTTCAGCAGCACAGAAGTGTCCATGCTTGGGCAAGAGGCAGCAGCAGGCACTGCTGGGCCACAACCCACATCCCCTCAGTGCCTCTGTGCTACAGGGCAGGGCATCGCTTCGTCCTGCAGCATCAATCTGAGCAATACAGCACCCAGAGGCCCACGTGCCAGGCCGGTTTCCTCCAGGACCTCAGTCCTTTTGTGCTGACACCTGGAGCAGATGCTGCAGGCAGGATACAGCCCCTGCCCCCTCGATGCCCTGCAGGAACACGGCATCGCTTTGTCCGCCAGCACAATCTGGACAGCACAACACCCAGAGGCCCCTGGTGTGCCGGACCTGGCTCCTGCCAAGACCTGGGAGCTCAGCTCTTTCGCTCTGACACCCGGAGGAGGAGCTGAGGGCAGGATACGGCCCCAATGCCCCCCGAGCGGTAGCGGCACGGCTTTGCCCTGCGGGCCGGGCCGGCTCCCAGCGGGTCCTCCAGCCGCAGCCCGGGGCTCCCCGTGTGCCGAGCCCGCAGCACGGGCCGGGCTCGTGGAGCTGGGGAGCCGTCCCACCGCACGGCTCGGTGCCATCCCCGCGGGCTGCGGCAGCACCTCATCCCGGCATCATCACCCCATCCCGGCATCACCCCACCCCGTCCCGGCATCGCCCCGTCCCGGCATCGTCGCCCCATCCCGGCATCATCAGCGCATCCCGTCCCGGCATCACCGCATCCCGTCCCGGCATCATCACCCCGTCCCGCCCGGCAGCAGCCCGTACCGACCTGCCGCACCGGGGCCGGCTCCGGGTCCCGCTCATCCCTCGGAAGGAGCGCCCAGACGGAGCGGAGGCACTTCCAGGCCGGGCTCAGCGGGCGGCGAACGGCTCCGCGCCCGGGGCTCCCCGCAGCCCGAGCCCACCGCCGGGCCCGCCCCGCCCGCGGCCCGCCGCCCCCATGGGCCGCCCCGAGGCCCCGCGGTCGCACGGGGGGCAACTTCCCGCCGGCCCGAGGCCCGCACAAAGGGCCCTCACCTGCGGCGGGAGGCCCCGCTCGGCCCGCTCGCTGCCTGCGGGCGGGGCCGCGGCCTGCTCGCTCCGCCCGATCCCCGCGCTCGCTTGGCGGCGGCGGCGGGCGGCGGGGCGGGGAGGGCCGGGCCGGGCGGCGGAGCGGAGCGGAGCGGAGCGCGGGAGGCGGAGCGCGGCCGGCGCGCGGCGCCCCCTGCCGGGCAGAGCGCGCGGCGCGGCGCCGCCATGAGCGCCGCGCTCGTGGGGTACAGCAGCTCCGAGGATGAGGAGGAAGGAGGGGGGGGCGCGCGGGGCAGGTGCGTGCCGTGCGGCCGGGCGGCGCCGGGCCCGGCGCGGGGGGGAAACCGACGCGCTTCTTTCTGTCTTGCAGCCGCCGCCTGCCCGTCCCCGAGTGCGTGCTGGCCATGTTCCGCGAGGAGGAGCGGGAGGAGAAGCGGGACGACGGCTCTCGGCACGGCGGCCGCGTGCGGTGCTTCCCCCACGAGCGGGGCAGCTGGGCCACGCACGTCTACCTGCCCTGTGCGTGAGCCGGGCCGCGGGGCCGGGCCTGGGGCTGCGGGGCGGCGTGCGCGGCGCCGCCGACACCTCGCCGCGGGAGGGCGGTGCGGCCGCGGCACCGCCGCCCGGAGCTGGGGGTGCCCCGACCCTGGGGGCGCCCCAGGACGCGGGCGGGCTGCGGGGGGCCGGCAGCCTACGGCAGGGCTCGGGGCTCGGCGGGCTGTGAGGTCCCCTCCGAACTCAGCCCCGCAACCTTTGTGCCCCGCAGATCAGGCCCAGGAGGAGTTCCTGGAGCTGCTGGAGCTGCTGGCGACCCACGCTCGCACCTACGTCCCGTCTCTCGCCGCCATGGAGGAGTTCCACGTCAGCCTGTCGCAGAGCGTGGTGCTGCGCTACCACTGGATCAACCCCTTCGTGCAGAGCCTCAAGGAGCGCCTGGCCTCCTTCCACAGGTGGGGACAGCTGAGCCCCGGGCAGCGGCTGTGGGCCTCTCGTCCCACTCTTTAGCAGGGTCTGTTGTGATAGAATCACAGAATCACAGAATGGCCTGGGTTGGAAAGGCCCACAACAATCATCTGGTTCCAACCCCCTGCTATGTGCAGGTCACCAGCCAGCAGACCAGGCTGCCCAGAGCCACATCCAGCCTGGCCTCGAATGCCTGCAGGGATGGGGCATCCACAGCCTCCTTGGGCAACCTGTTCCAGTGCCTCACCACCCTCTGGGTGAAAAACTTCCTCCTAACATCCAACCTAAACCTCCCCTGTCTCAGTTTAGGACAAGAGGAAATGGTTTCAAACTAAAACAAGGGAGACGTAGACTGGATATAAGGAAGGAGTTCTTTACACTAAGAATGGTGAGGCAGTGGCACAGTGGTGCCCTGTCCCTGCAGACAGCCAAGGTCAGGCTGGAGGGGCTTTGAGCACTGATGGAGCTGTGGGTGTCTCTGCTCATTGCAGGGAGTGGGACCAGATGGCCTTTAGGTGTCGCTTCAACTCAGTTCTGTGATTCTATGAAATTCCATCCCTTCTCCATCTTCTGTTTGTGTTTGCATTTGTTTTTGGTTTTGTTTTTGTTTTTTTTTCCTAGCAGAAACAGTTTCTTTCTCACTCAGGTTCTTCTGTGTGGCTGACCGAGTGAAGGTGTACACCAACCAGAACAAGACCAGGTGAGCGAGCAGAGGGGCACAGTGCCAGGCAGGTGGGAGCAGAGAGCTGCCCATGCCATCCCACACCGTGGCAGGGAGCTCCATGGAGGGGCAGAACGCAGTGCCCCATCTCAGTGACTGAAGTTTCAGATCTTTGTCCAGCCCCTTCCAGCAGCGCTGCGGGGTGCGTAGGTTTTTAGCTTCTCCATCAGTCCTCTGCAAGCTGTTATTGTCTTGTGGGGACTGAACCTCGGGCTGCAGAATTTCAGCCTTCTGAAGTTAGGAGGAGGGACGTGTTCCCAACGTGGCCCGAGGCAGCCTTTCTGCTGGGGTTGGGTGATGCTGCAGCTTCACATCCGCGCTGCCAGAGAGACAGCCCTGCACGTTGCTGTGCTGATCTTGTTGGCTCTGTGGTTGCACAGATCCCCGTGCCAGCTGAGAGAGTGGGGAATGAGCAGCCTGGGGCCAGTGGAGTGGGGGCCACCTCCTTTGGCAGCACTGCCAGCTTTATGCTGATGGTGAAATTGCATTGTGAATCTTCAAAGAGCTGGAGACAAACAGCTCTGACAGCCCTAACTCACCTGGGTGCCAGCTCAGAAGCCTGATGGTGCTGCTTCCAGTTGAACGCAATTAAGCAATTTAAATGCCAAAGCACATTAAAGAGAAAGGTGATTAAAATGATGAAAAGCTGCTGACTCTAATGGGAATGGAAAACCACATCAGTCATGGGCGGGAGGAAGCAGGTCTTTGAGGAAGACTTGTCCACCCTCCCGTCGTGCGGTCAGACACAGGCGTAGGAGAAGTGCCACCACGACGGTCCTCATGAGGAACCTCTTTGTCACAGCACTTCCCCATCCACACTGTTCTCAGCTGGTGCTTTGCAGCCACTTCCTCTCCGTTGTACAGCTCCTGTAGCAACCTCCATCCTCTCAAAGCCGTACTGCTCTTGCACAGGGCTCTGCTGAGATACTCACGTGTGTTCTGGTCTTTGTTTAGGACCTTTGTAGGTTTGGAAGTCTCTACTGGACATTTCCAGCTGCTGGAATTGGTCTCAGAGGTGGACAAGGTTATGGAGGAGTATGACCTCCCCGTATTCTACAAGGTGAGGCCTTTCCCTGCTGGTCTGGAGGTGCTGTCTAGTTCCATGTGAGAGGCTGGAGCCTGGCTGATCTGTGCAGTGTTCAACCTCAAATAAACATGAGTGGAGAAATTGGGCTCTGAAATGGTTTCCCATGGGCCAATCAGTGACATTCACAGCTAACACCCTGAACAGGATCTTGCTGAGAATGGGACTTGCACAAGTATGACCTCTGTTTTGTGTCCTGTATGGGAGAGTAAGGATGTTAACTAACTGGTGCCCTCTGGGAGTGGGGCTGAGTCAGGGAGGACCCTCACTTCCAGCACTGTCACATTTCAGCTCTGCAGTCACTGATCTGGCTTTGGGGGCTCCCTGCTTTGCGATCCTCCTGCCCATGAATGCAGAGCACTCCAAGATCCCAGGCAGGGCAGCCCCGCACCGAATCTCCCACTGCACTGAGCAGAGCCTCCTTTCATCCTTGTGATCCAATCCCTGCTTTTATCTTCAGGACCCATCGTTCCACATCAGCGTGGCCTGGTGCGTCGGGGACCTGAGTGGCAGCCTGGAAGGGCAGTGTCTGCAAGAGCTCCAGGTGTGTCTCCACATGGGCACAGGGGGGGCCAAGCAGAGACAGTTTGCTTCTGTGAGGCAAACTCAGCTTGACTGAAAGAACAGAGGCTTTGGAGGGTGAGGGGGAGCAGGAGGCGGCGAGTTGAGCCACCCTCCTGAAGAACAGCCACAAACCTGTCTCTGACTCGGTTCTGAGATGGAGCTGCTGACTTCCCCCTCCAGCAGTTGGCCCACCCACCCTCCTTGTGCTCACTCCTGCCCCTGCTTGTGTTTTTCAGGACATTGTGGACAGGTTTGAGGACTCGGCGCGCATTCTGCGTGTCCAATGGGAGCAGATCCGCTGCAAGTCAGGCAATAAGTTCTTCTCCTTCCCCTTGAGGTAGGACCTGATGGGGCTGTGCATCTCGGAGCCCAAAGAAAGACCTGCTGTTCAACAAAGAGCCGTTCTCCAGCACAGCTCCAAACACTGGGGGCTGCCACACGCCTCCCACGCTCTTCTTGTCTGCTCAGCAGCTCTGGGAAGTTTGTGGTCTCAAGCCACGCAACTTCCAAGTTTGAGTTGTTGGCTAAAGAAATGTGTGTTTGCAGCAGATTTCTTACAGCGGCGTGCTGTCAGCAGCCAGGATGTGCTGCAGTCAGCATTGGTGGCTCCAGTCAGAGCTGCTAATTTTGCTGATTTTAAGAAAGAAAGAAAGAAAAAAAACCTCTCTAAAAGCCGTAGCTGCCTTATGTTTAGGAGAAGGGAGGTCGCGTGGGAAGCGCTTGCTGAAGGCAGCTTGTCTCGCACAGTTGGAAGTGGCACCGTCATTGTCTGGGAGCTCAGAGCTGGCTGCTGAGCTCAGTCGTAGCTCTGAAAAACAAGAGGCAGGGATGCAGCAGGGCATCTCCCTACCATAACCCAGCCCACAGAAGCTCCCGGCTCACATCTGCGGCCCTCTCACGCTGCCGCTGCCGCCTCTGTAAGTTGCAGCATGACATCCCGTCGCCGAGACTGAATCGTGGCGATTGAATCATGACGGAGAGGCTTTACGACGACGACTTTAAGGTTATTTGTGTCAAAAGGCCGCGTTCGCGGGGCTGCTCCCTGCCGTCGTGTTGCGATGAGCCCAAGAGAGGGCACTGTCGGCTCTCGCAGCGCGGCCCGGTGGGCGTTCTCGCTCCGTCGGGGGGTGGCACGGGGGCTTCTCCATAAAGCGGCACCCACGGCGCAGGGCTGTCCCTGCGCTGCCCTTGGGCGGACTTTTGTCCTCGGGAAAAGGCCCCTCTGTCCTTTGTTCCTGCTGCGCTGCCCTCCATCTTTCGTCCCACGTTTGTTGATGAAGGACTGCGAGTCCTTCCGAGCAGTAAAACGTGTCTCGCAGCCTTGTTTCTGTGCTGTATCTGAGCCGCTCCGCCTCTCACGCGCCGTCGGCTCCGAACGAGGCGATGCCCGCGGCGCTCCCGGGAGCGGAGTGCGGGAAGAGCATCGCGGCGCGGCGCAGCCCGCATCCCTCGCGGCCGCGGGGCACCACGTCTCCCAGGCCCGTGCCGCCGGCCGCCCTGCGACAGCGGGTTTTACATTAACCAAACCGCCGGCTTGCTGTTTGCTGGGAGCGCCGGCCCTGACGGCCC